AAATTTGTGAACACAAAAAACTATTGTTGCTTTTTTCGTATTGTCGAGTGTGTAAGTCAATTCTTACAATATAATAAAATATTGACTTGAGTAATAATATTAATAGTTGTAATAATATTCTAATCTGAACAAATCTTGTAACAGGTATCTATTACTGTACTTGGAAATCACTTTTCGGCGGTATGAGTGTTTTGACAGTTATACAAAAATATAATTATAGGCATAACCGCACAGTAAGTGGTTCGACCTTAATCGAGTACCTTTTTTTTTTTTTTTTTTTCGTTTGAACCGACAGCAGAGGAGGATCTGTGTGAACACTACTACTCCTCTGCTGCCATCGTTTATTACGAAAACGTTATAAAAACGTTAATACATGCACATTCTCAACTCATAACTAATTATGGTTGCTTCACCTTAAAAATAAACAATAATACAATAGGTACAATACAATTCAATACAATGCGATACAATAAATAATAGTCAGTCAGTTGGAGCGGCTGCCACTGCATTCGCTCTTCGTTCGGTCTCAGCTATCCTTTCATCATGCTCCTTGCAGCTTAAAATGTTGTCAACCATGTCATAAAAGGACTGAGTGGCACGTTTGGAGGCAGCCCGTAGCCGGTCGTTCTCACTGAACGGGACATCGGAGGGGCCGCACAACAAATCCTGGACGTCTCCCGGGGTTATATTTCGGTTACCAACAAACATCTTCACTGGCAGCCGAAGCGGATCCCAGTAAGCACAATCAAATATCGTGTGTTCCGCAGTGTCCTCAGGGTGTTGGCAGTACAGGCAAGCCGCATCAGGGGCGCGCTTCATCCTGTGTAGGTAGTACCTGAAACACCCGTGTCCCGTAAGAGCCTGCGTTACATGAAACGTGAGGTCTTTGGGGCATCTTTTCGTCCATCTTATCAGGTCCGGAAGAATCGTCCATCTTATCAGGTCCGGAAGAATCGTGCGCGTCCAGGCTCCTCTAACGCCCCGACTCCATCTGTTCGACCAGGCAGCAAGCAAGATGTCTCGCTCTGCTCTCCGGATCTCATCCTTTGTATCAGTTCTGTCCGGATCGTCAAGTTTACTTCGGACTCTTTTGCGTTCCAAAGCAAGAAGATCACCCGGAGGAGTTCCCGCCAGGAATAAGGCTGCCTCAGCCGAGACTGTGCGGTACGCCCTCGTGACTCTGAGAGCCGCAATCCTCTGGGCCCGGATCATAAGGTTTCGACAGATAGCGTACTTGCATGCTCTTTCCGCCCACGTTGGACAGGCGTACAGCAGCCTGCTGTTCACCACAGACAACCTTAATCGAGTACCTAGTGGAAAGTGTAATGCATTTGCTAGGTACCTATATAACATAAATTCTCAGACATGGCCACAATAACATTATTCTATATTGTCATCACTCGTCATTATTTGTCGGTAATGTTTTCCTCCATACCATGTTTTAGAACAATTTATTTCTGAATAAATTTTTAGAAATAAATTTCTAACCCAAAAAATGTGATAAAAGAAGAAAAATGAATTTAAGAAAACAAGCACACATATTATTATAAAATCAATCCATTCTCATCGCTCGGCTCAGAATTTAAAATAATAATAATAATAACTATAGTTTTTTTTATTGTTGTTGTATGAACGCCACATAGTTTTTTCGTAAACTAGATAGGTACTTCGACCCGTCGAAATGATTTTCGAATGATATATTATACCGAAGTGACGTTTCAAGAGCTTGCATTATTTTTATTGTATAATGACAGCAATCACTGGAGCAGAAAAATCATTTTCCTAACCAAAACTAATAAAAAATGACTTAAGAAACGCATGTGGACGAGTGCGTTCATCTAGTATAGCAATTTCAAATATATAAAAAGAACGAACTAAAAATCTAAATATTGAGGAAATGATTGACAATTTTGCTTTATAAATTATATTTCTTATAATAAAATATCTTAGATATTTATGTAATTATGATGTTAAATAAATTATTATTTATTTAAGATTACTCTTAAATATCATATTACCTAATACCAGTAGGCAGTAATACCTATCTGTTAAAATATGGTTATAAATGTATAATGCAATTCGATTTGTAGTAAAAATATAATGGTATAATACTGTGAATTGTTTTTCAAGGGAGCCCCTAAATTTTTTTTTGCACCAGAGCCCTCAGAGTTCAAGATTCGGCCCTGAGTTTAGTCAACAAATTTAAACAAAAAAAAAAAAAAATGGGACTCTGTAGCTCACATAATATATTATGTACCCTCTGATGGCCTAGCTGAGTTTCCAGTGACGTGTCGAAGGTATTATTGTTACAAAATTGTTGGTTGGTGGGTGTGCTTCCTGCCACAAAATACCTAGCCACCTAGGTGACTAGGTATATAGTAGAAATATCATATCCGACTATACAAATCGTTGCAAATGTAGGCAAATTTTGTAAAATTTGTCATTTAAACTTTTTTGCTATTATGTTGGAAATGCCGTTACAAACATCGAGGGGGGTGGGCGGGTGGTTACCTTGTATACATTTTTGCTCCTCACCAAAAAGGAGTTCAACACGCCACTGCCCGTATATTAACCCGTGGTATTACCTATTAAAATAAAAATCAATAAATGTAACTTATCATGTTAGCATTATTTATTCTATTTTATTATTATGAATTATGATTATATCTAAATATCAACATACCTACCATTAGTTGAATAATATGATTATTATGACCACGGAATAATATACTAGAACCTGTGATAAGTGAAACCCGCACCTTCTCACGTTGCCGCCACAGACTTCTATACTACACTAGATAAGGAACTCTTATACAATTTACATTGTTACAAGTGAAGCTCAGCTGTGAACGGCCGCCATTTTGTCGGTTGGCAAAACATTTCATTTATTATACAAAATGTATTAGGAATAATATTTTTTTTAACGGTCAAATAAGATAGTAAATGTAAAATGACTTATATAAAATATTTTTTTTTTTTTGTAAACTAAATGTTTAAAAATAATAAAATACGATATAAAATAAATCATAATATCATCTTATTTGTCATATGAAATACCATACAATTGCCAACCGACCTTGAAGCTTCAATTCATGACCGGAGTTCGCTATCTAGTAATATATAGAAATCTGTGGTTGCCGCATGACAACTAGCGCTTTATAGTATTGTTCTGTGTTAACTAGTTCCTTATTCTCCCGGTTAACAGTTTAACACTACGACTCAAAAAAAGCATTAATAAGATGCTTCGTTGCGTATCCGGTATCCAGCATATTAATCCGTGATTATGACACACGTCTGGCGTCGTAGTCGAAACAGGAATCATATTAATATAATGGATTATAAAAATAGAAACATTGCCCCGAAACCCAATAACAATCAACAAATACATAAAAATCACGGACTAAGATATACAGGACTGGACACGAGATGAATATTGTGGTTACGAAATGTTTTACAACAGGCGGAGTTCGCGGGGATATTTTCCTTTTAGCATTACTAGCGCCGTCTTAGTGGATACTTATGGAACTATAAATTTGTATGATGTGTTCTAGTTCCATAAGTATCCACTAGGACGGCGCTAGTAATGCTAAAAGGAAAATATCCCCCCGAACACTGCCTGTTGTAAAACATTTCGTAGTCAACCCCCCCACACCCTCCAACCTTGTCGTGTCCAGTCCTGTATATCTTAGTCCGTGATAAAAATAATCTAATCAGCGATAACAGAACAAATTAATAAAATGCATTTTCAGATAAGATGAAAATGTTTAACATTAAATTATAGGGTGGGGGGGGCACTTCAGCACTTGCCCATCCTGGCCCCAATGTAGAGCCGCCTCTGTAGATAAATACATTTAAGTTATATAATATAAAAAAAATACATTACAATTTCTTTTGTAAAGGATGAAATTATAAACTTAAATACAAGTTGAGAGGACATTATACCCGCATGTGTTGTCTCCGTCTTACAAGTGGATAACATAGCAAATTATACGCAAAGCAGAACACGTGTAGCTCCGTTAGCTTAAAAATTAGAGTAAATTTACCTATTAAATTTAAAGGTAAGATTATTATCGAGAGCATCTCATATCCTTTTTATTATATTTTAATTTTAGAGCGAATTATTACTATTTTAAAATTGTAAATTGTTTGTACATCTTAAAATACATGATATTCGTTTTAAAATTAAAATATAATAAAATGCTTATGAGATGCCCTCAACAATAATCTTACCTTTATATTTAATAAGAGGTCAATTCACTCTAACTTTTAAACTAACGGAGATAAACGTGATCTGCAGAGTGTAAAATTTTATATGTTACGCGTTTGTAAGACGGAGACAACACATGCGGGTGTGGCGTCCTCTTAGGGTCTCGCCACACCATGCGTTTTAGCGGGTCCGGGTAAAACGCATCCGGTCGACCGGAACAACAACTTGCATTGTTTCTAATCATAGGTGCTACATTAGAGCGTTTTGTCGGGACCTGTCGATTCCTGCCGCGAACCGACCGCAACATGTTGCGGTCGGGCGGGAAACGTATCGGCAGGACATGTCATCAAAACACATTATTTTAAATCGTGTATGCCACACTGTGCGTTTTAGCCGCTGCGTTTTTTGAATATTTTACCTAGACATATTTTTTAAATATTTAAATAAATATTTATATTTTGAAAAATGGTTTTTGATACCGATAAATTTATATCATGTATCCAAAATAACCCTTCCATATGGGAAATTGGATCCAAAGATTATATGGATAAGCATATAAAACAAAAAAGTTGGAATACGATTGGTGAGTACATGTTTGAAGATTGGAGTGAGCTTGAAGAACATGCAAAAGAAAGTAAAGGTAAGGAATCTAAGTTATATTTATATTTATTGTATTGTATACAATTATTATATTATACCATGTAAATATAAATTACATTATTGAATACATTTATTAAAATATTTTTAAATTTAAAAATAATTTTATTCTAAAACTTATATTTTTATTTAAAAATCAAATCATGTCATATTGAAAATCTACTGCTCCTGGACCCATAAAGTAGTTGGCAAAGTAATCCCTCACTTCAACTCCATGCGAACGAGTCCCTGTTCCACGAGCTTCAATATCTTCTAAGTTGTGGGTTTCAGAATCTTCATAATTTATACCATCTCTTTTACGAACAAAGTTGTGCAGTACGCAACATGCTTTTATAATGTCATCCGTAAAATCTGGCTCCACCTGAATAGCCGTATGTAAAACACGCCATTTATTTGCGAGTACTCCAAATGCACATTCGACTGTGCGCCTTGCTCTGGATAATCGGTAGTTGAACACTCTTCGGGAATCAGTAAGGTTACGTCCAGGGTACGGTCTAAGTAAGTTTGCATGTAAAGCAAATGCTTCATCTCCAATAAACACATACGGTTGTGGGTTGGTACTTGTATTTGGTAAAGTAACTGGTTCTGGTATGTTCAATTTACCTTCATATAATTGTTTACCAAATGCACACTCCTTGAACACATTAGAGTCCCCTTCACGACCATATGAACCAACATCGATTACAACAAAATTCAAATTTGCATCAACTATTGCCATAGGCGTGCGCAGCCTCCGGTTTCAGGGGCAGCAAGAGATTAATTCGGCCCATTTTTCAAATTCGCCATTAAAACCAGCCCATAGTTTTACTTTTTTTACTATTGGATATCAAAATTAAAATTGTATTGGTTATTTGTTTTTTTGGATAAAAGGTTGTACCGTAAGGTACTAAGCTACTAAAGGTGTACTTTTCTAGTTTTCTATAAGCCCATATAAAATATTTATCTATAGTTTATCAAAACAAAAAAAAATCCTTTGTGGAAATATAATTTTACCGAGGCCCATCATTTAATATTTGCCGGCCCCGGTGGCCCCAAAGAAAGTCCAGGGGCAGCATATGCTGCCTCTGCTGCCCCCGTGCGCACGCCTATGACTATTGCCATCAAAACGATAGAGAAATACTTCTTATAATTAAAGTAGAACGAACCGGAGTTGTTAGGATTTCTACACCTTATATGTTTGCCGTCTATTGCTCCTAGACAATTTGGAAAATTTGTTTTAGAATAAAATATATTTGATATTTCCACCCAATCTTCTTTGGTCGGTTTAGGCATCTCTTTTGAATTTAAAGTTGACCATATCACTTTACAAGTGTCTTTTACGATCACTCCAATCGTACTTCTTCCCACAAAAAAATCAAATTTTAATGCAGCGAAGCACGTACCAGTAGATAAATATCTAATAAACAAAAAATATATTATTAATAAATACATTTTGATGGGTCGCTTTTTTTAGTTTTTACATTCTGAGCGTAGCAATGAATGCATTGATTTTACAATGTGTATGTTTATTTTTATTATAATTTTTTTTTTGTGTCTGTGTACACGATAAGATTTTGAAATAATGATTCGATGTTTTCAACTTCAGTATATTTTTCGATGGGATAGTGAATCTTGTTGGTGCACATGGTCGAAATTTAAAATTTCCAGTAATTTTCAAAAGCACAGGGAGAAAAAAAATAAGAAAAAACGGTTTTTATATTAATTTGATTAATTATTTATAATATTATAAATTAATATAATTATAGTGACCGATCTGAAAGCCAAATGGAGACATATTAGAGACCACTATTCAAAATTTATGAATCAGGGTAAAAGTGGCGATAGCGCTAAAAGAAAAAAATATGTATACGCAGAATCACTGACGTTCTTGCAGCATATAATTAAAAAAAGAAGGTAATTAATATATAAATCTAAATTATAATCTTTTATTAATTATTACAATCTTAGTTATATTTAATATAATAAAGATATTTATTACAAACATATTTATAATGTAATCTAAACTCGAAAATTTTAGATTTTTAAAAATACTTTGAAACACAAAAATAATCACAGTTTTTGTTAAAAATTACCAAAAAAATTATTCCCTAAGATCGGACCACTGCACTGTGACACATTTTGTATCTACATAATTTTTTTTTTATAATTATTTCTGGTTACGCCCCTGCAGAGTAGTTAGTTTTATTTGATAAGAAATTATAAAATTTTCATAATTTTCTAATTTTTAAAAATGTACATAACAAAAAATATTCATGAAAACGTACATCACTAGTAATGACAACTAGATGAATTATTTTTTATTTGCTCATAGGACGACAGGTAATTTCGATGAAAGTGTACAAGAAGAAGGAGAAAATACCGGTGGAGAAGATTCATCCCACGAGTTGGTTTTAGATAACGAAATGATACCACCTCAATCCGACAGATATTCAACTCCAAAAAGTAAAAAACAAAATAGTTCCAAGGTACAAATGATGACACCATTTCAAAAAGAGTTACTAAGAAATTTAGCTACTTCCGAAGAAGATGTAACTTCTGATCCTGATAAGGCATTTTTATATTCCTTATTACCCGATTATAAAAGACTAAACTATGATCAAAAAACAGATTTTCGTCTCATGACTCTACAATATTTTAGAAACGTATCATTAGGAACTAATCAACTACAATCAACTCCACCATATTTTAACATTAATCAAAACACTAGTCAGAATGTCTCTATTCCAACTCAATATTCAAATGTATGTCCTTCATTCAACCCTGGCATGGGGAACAATCAAAATCATAATCTTATGCCACAACCCTTGCCAATATATTCATCTAATTTCAATCCAAATGCTCAACATTCCACATTATATTCTAAAAGCTCATATACTTATGATCAATCCCAACAACCTACTACTAGTGGAGAATTGATTGAAAAATTTTAATAGTATAATATGAAGTAAGTAAAGTTTGAATTATACTTATTGCAATAAGGTGCACCATTTCAGTTTTTAAATTCAAACATGACATTTTTAATTTTTTTTTATAAATATTAAAATAACAAGGTTTTGTTATACAGTAAAATATTATATTATGTTGCTTATTATGTATTAATGAGGTTAAAAAAGAATGTAATTTTTAATTTTTTAAGAACATGAATTTGTTTCATTTTTTATATTTTATAGTTAAGTAACGAAGATTGTTATATTTTAATGTTATTTTTTTATACTATACTGTTAAATATTATTTAATCTTTGAATAAAAATAAAGTATTACATTTTTTTTTCTTATAATATACTGTTTGTCTGTGTATTTTCATAACCTATACAGAAATTATGTTAAAAAAATAAAAATAATAAATTTTAATTTTTGATAACAATAGTCAATAGGTGATTAGTGATAACTTATTAATTATTAATAATCATATATATATATATATCACGTTGAAAAACTTAACTTTTATACGTAATATAAAAAAAAACTTACCTTAAAGTAATTGTTAGACGTTCCTCAGCAGATATCGGATTACGAAATTCTGTGGTATTTTTCGTAATATATGGCCGTAGAGTTTTTAGCAACTCATCAAAACTTGAAATTGACATACGGTAATACTCATAGAATTTATCAGGATATTGTCTAATATTTTCAAAAAATGTCGTAAACTGGCCTATTTTCTCACGATCCGTATTTAGTGGGTGTACCCAATACCTTCGTTTTGCTTTCGGTGGATCTAATAAACTTAATGCTTCGGCTACAGCAACAACTTTAATTTTTTGACGATTCATTTAATCTATATTTAAATGTATTTAATATAAACTAATTAATAATAAAATATTATATAACTACGATTGAACACATTTATAAAATACAAGTATAGTATACTTACTTATGGAGTGTTCAAAAAATAAATACAAAAATACAAAAATGTAATAATTTTGACACACTTTAATTAGGTAGGTAGTTATTTAAATATTATACTTGTACCTATAACTTTATAACTGACAAGTAATATAATAAAATAATTTTGCATAAATTACGTAGGTAATCTAGGTCTACCTCAGAGAGCGTAGATATGTTGAATGTAATGAAATTATTGGCCGTAGGTGTTTGACGAATTTGGGGTCTAGCGGTGGCGTTTGGAACTTGGAATGCAGTGGCGGGAACAAAAACGCATAGATGTGACATAGGCAAAATCATCCGGTCAAAACGCATCCGGTTTACCCGGACCCGCTAAAACGCATGGTGTGGCGAGACCCTTAACGTGCAACCACGGCCGGTGCAATGTGGGTCGTCACATCCCCTTTGAATTTTTCGTAACTATCAGTCGGCATAAGTTCTTTGTTATTTTTAATTGTTCTCAATCGTTCGGCCAAAAAGGTATAACGTTCTCAATCGTTCAATAGCCGTTTTATTGTGTCTAATAGCTCTGCTCATCAAAATCTAAAATTAAATGTTGAAAGAAGATAGGTAGTTAGTTCGATATAACCTTATAACCTTATGTGCACATTCATTTGGCACTGATGGTGACAGTAATTTTAAGGGGAGCTTATAGACTCTAGTATTAATGTATTACCATTATTGTCCTCATTATTTCTTTAATCAACAGGTAGACAGGTAGTTGTGTATACATTTCCACACCACCTTTGGGAAAAACGATACATTGGAATAATGAAGTCCGTTTAAATGCATGAGGTATTGTTAGCAACTTTAAACAACTAACGATCGGTAGCAGTTTAAAGTAAGACTCGGGTCAGGATTCTGGAAACTAGGTAAATATTTAGAACGAAGTGTGTGGTATTCGGCGTTTATTCTTACAAACGGCAAACTAGAAGAACTTAATATTACAGTTTCTAACTTAACAACTTAGATTAACGGTCGTCGGGGACGCGGGACAAAGCGGTGTACCCGGTCGCTACGAAAACTAGAACATGACTATCTTGCCGGACGTCCCGCCGTCGCGGTTGTCCGTGTATCCGTTGAGCGCGAGGCGCAGTGTGACCAGTTCAGGGCACACAGTGCCTCAGCCCTTACAATATACATTATAACTTGATTTGATTATGATACATTTCACACGAAAAAACATTTGTCGCTAACATTCGGCCTTTCCTGGCCAGTCAGAGTGTCCTCGCTCTGTGGAGAGCCAAGCCAGAAACGTTAGGCGACATTACAATAAATAACTTACAACGGGTGATTAAATAATTTTAAACAATTAAATAAATAACTTACAACGGGTGATTAAATAATTTTAAACAATTAAATAAATAACTTACAACGGGTGATTAAATAATTTTAACAATTAAATAAAGAAAACTTACAACGGGTGATTAAATAATTTTTCACAATTAAATAAAAAAAACTTACAACGGGTGATTAAATAATTTTTCACAATTAAATAAAAAAAAACTTACAACGGGTGATTAAATAATTTTTCACAATTAAATAAATAACTTACAAACAGGTGCATATCATGATGCAGTAGGTAGATAGGAATTAGTCCAGCTTGTAGTCGGACAAGTACGCAGGTGGACGTCTGATCCGGCTGGGCTCGATGACGGTCGGATTGCCCTCCGCACCACGATCTTCATCATCGACCTCATGTCGGACATCGCCCTCCTCGTCTTCATCATCGACCTCACGTCGGACAACGCCGTCTTGGTCGTCTCCTTCGACCTCGTCTTCACTATCAGCATGTTGCAGAATCTTCCATGATTTTAGCTGAGTGGTGTGGGCGGTGGTGGCGTACACCTCTCGACCGTCGGAGGCCACCTCAGCCACCCTATAGGTGTCTCCTGGCAACACTTCCATCACGTGTAGGGGCTTCTCTCGATATTTTGCCTGTAGTTTAGTGGGTTGATCTGGACGTGGTTGCCGTAACATAACAACGACCTCCCCCACTTCGTACCTTGTTCCCGGATAACGGTTCCGGTCGTAATGGGCCTTCATGTTTGCCTGGCCCGTGGCAATAGCATTTCGTACAGAGTCTTGCACGTCATTTGGGTTGGTCCATTCACCACTAGAACGGCTCAGTGTATTGACCACGCCTCCCACATACCTTGGTCGGTATCCATGGAGTGCCTCAAAGGGTGTACGAGTACTTGTTTTGTTTACGGCGGAGTTGAGGTGCCTCTCCAGTTCCGGTATCCGTTCGTCCCATCGATCTTGATCGGTTGTCATTATGGCTAACAATGGCACAATGGTCCGATTCGCGCGCTCGACCTGCCCATTGGCCTGCGGGTGACGTGTGGAGTTTAACGTGTGGCGAATACCTCGACTTTGGCAGAATTTACCAAACGCCTTCCCGGTGAAGCAGGTACCACGATCGCTTATGATACGTCCGGGAATTCCGCGAGTGTCACAGAATTTCGACAATCTGTTCAGTACACCGGCGGTGTCCGTGGTACGGCACGGATACAAATGAGTGTATTTTGTTAGGTTATCCACCAGTACCAATAGGTACTTGTTACCTGTGGCGCTGGTTTCAAAAGGACCCAGATGGTCGATGTGTACTACTTCGAACGGTCGCCTACCAGTCGGTATTGGATGTAGGTAGCCCGGATTCTTGCCGGCGGGTACCTTGTGTATTAGGCAATCCAGGCACATTTGGATGTGCTGTTTGACATATCGGCGTAGTCCAGTAAACCAATAGTCCTCTGTGATCTTTGCGACAGTTCGGTCCAACGAAAAATGACCCCCGTAATCGTGTGCACCAACAACGATCCCTTTCCTCATCGACCGAGGCACGACTAATAACGATTTTCCGGCATGTCTTCGGTACAGGACACCATCGTGTAGTTCGTACGGCTCAGTCAGGGACTTCTCGTGCTTGGTGAGTTTTCTTGTTGTTTTCATCAAATTGATCAGATTTGCGCTCGCGGCGTCACCTTGTTGCATAAACCGCACTTTGTCCACAACAGTCATAGCAACAAAGACGTCGAGCCGTTTGGTAAGCTCGTGTTCGACCGATATTTCTTCCGCGTCGAAAGTCGGCGGGGCGGCGCGGCTCAGGGCATCTACGTGTGCCATACGGCTGCCAGGTCTGAACTTAACTTCGAAATCGAATTCCTGTAAGATTTCAAACCATCGTGCTATTTGTGGCTTAACAGTCTTATGGATATTTAAATATATTAACGATTGACAATCTGTCACCACAGTAAAATGTATTCCCAACAAGTACGGGCGCAGACGACTAAGCGACCATATGACGGCGAATAACTCCAGCCGGCTGCTGTGGTACTTCGCTTCGGCGTCGGTCGTCTTTTTGCTGACCGCGTAGACCATATGCAAATCGGTGGTGGTCGGTCCTTGCAGCAATATTCCCGATAGTGCCACGGCACTAGCGTCAGTATGTACCTGTGTCACCGCTGCCTTCGGGTTGAACATGCGCACCACTGGCGCATTACATAACAATTCGCGGAGCGTGGTAAAAGATTCCTGTTGTGCTTCGCCCCACTCGTACGCCACATCCTTCCCAGTGAGCTGCGTCAACGGAGTAGCCACCTTGGCGTAATTGACAATGAAGCGGCGGAAGTAACCAGTAAGGCCCAAAAAACGGCGTATCTCGTGCGCATCCCGGGGCCGCGGGAATGTCTTGATTGCGTGGACCTTCTGTCCTGGTCGTATCACACCTTGAGAAACGGTAAACCCGAGAAAGTCCAACTCACTTGCACCGAACGTGCACTTCGCAGGTTTTAACGTCAACTTAGCTGCGCGGAGTGAATCGAATACCTGTCTAACCACGACGAGCATTTCTTCCCAATCCTTAGAAGGTATGATGATATCGTCCAAATATACGTGTATTAACCCCTGGTTCAGCAGTTCCTTAAAGACGGTGTTCATAATTCTTTGAAACGTGCCGGGGGCCCCTTTCAACCCAAACGGCATTCGTTCGAACCTCGCGGTGGTCTCCTCCGTGACGAATGCAGTTTTCTCCTTAGCCTCCTCGCTCAGTGGAATTTGCAAGAATCCATTGGAGAGGTCCATCGTGGAGAATATCCGGCCCTCCGCGAGCCGCGATAATAAGTCATCGATATCCGGCATCGGATATGGTTGGTTCTGAGTTTGTTGATTAAGCCTCCGGTAATCAACACACAATCGTTTTTCACCTGTGCCCTTATTTACAAGGAGCACCGGGCTAGCGTATGGTGACGTCGAGTCCGAAATAATACCGGCGGACTTCCAGTCGTTCAAAATCTGTGCAATGATGCGACGGTCGGTTGGCGACGTGCGATACGGTTTTTGACACACAGGGTCACTACCCTGCACCTCGTCAATGTTCATTTTCATAACGTCTGTGCAACCGAGTTCAGCCAACGTCTTGGCGAACACATCACGGTACTCGTTTATGAGCGTCATCAAACTGCCGCGTTCGGCTTCAGTGACACCCGGGTCTATCTTGACGTCGGTATGCAGTAGGGGCGTCATCGTGGGCTTGTCAGCACTGACTAGAGCTGCATATACATTCGAGCTTTCTTCCGACACATTTTCGGACAGCGCTGTAGAGTTAATACCGTTGAGTGTCTCGATGACCAGCTCATCTTGGCGCTTGTAATAACTGATGTGTGGTAGATTTAGCCACGTCCGGCCTACGATTACGTCCACAGGGATAGAATCGTCACTAACGACAAGCACCGGGTGATCGGCAGCGCTCGCGTCATCGACCGCTATATCTGCAGTGGTCTCACCCAGCGTCACCGCACCTGGAGAGTTCATGTCTCCGACCGTGAACAATGGACGACAGACCTTGCGGATTTCCGACGTGGATCGTTCGGCGAGGCTGATGCGTACCAAAACATCTGACGAACCCGTGTCGATCAGGCAGGTAGCGCGTATGTCGTTGAACAGTATATCCTTCATAAAACAGTTGCCCTTCGGGTACCTTGATGTCGGTTCAACTCGATATGTTTCGGCGGGAGGCGTAACCTTGCGTGGATTCACGGTGCACTGACCTCGCGAATGCGTCGTCGACTGACAGCCCGAACATGGTTTCCGTGGTTTCGGACAATCACGTGATATATGTCCTGTACCACCACAGTTGTAACATCGTACCGTGGACGTTTTCGGTAACTCGGATGAGGTCGTTGGACCTTCAGTTGTCGTTGCCGACGTTGACGGCGTCTTATCGGCGGTACGACGGGTATTGGTGTTTCGTTGATCGTACTTCGTTGTCTTCGCGGCAGGCACTACGTGTGGCCTAGCCGTCGTGGGAAACTGCGTCCGTCGCAGTTCGTACAAACGTTGCCATTCTTGCAGGTCGGCCAGCAGTGTTGCGGTAGTGCTGTGGTCCCTGCTCATGGCATAAACTGCCAATTCTTGAGAACGAATACCCATGACGATGTGGTCCCGCGTTTCAGTGAAGGTGAGATGCAAAGCTTGGCACAGACGGAGCTTGTCGTAGAAATAGTCAGCTATGTGCTCAGTTTCCCCTTGCAGACGTTCACTCAGCGCCTTCCATCGGTCCGTCATACGTAGTGTACGGACAAAGGCGGAACGGAACTTCACCTTAAAATCGGACCAATCCGTGAATACCTCCGTGTGGTACCAGCTACGGGCCGCGTTCGTCATGTTTGACTTCACGAATTGCAGTCGGTATGGCGTTGGCCAATTGTTTATACCAGCCAGAGCATCGACAGTGCTCAACCAATCTTCGGCGGCGCAGCTCGATTCGTGGCCGGTGAATTCAGGCACAGTTCGGTTCAGATCCGGCAACATTCGGTAATCGCTGTAGGAGTGTGGCACGGAGTTCTCGGTTTGCTGTGTCGGGGGCTGCGTCATGACAGGATTTCCCGCATTCTTTTCCAGCAACTCCAACCGCGACTTCAGCGACTGGGCCAAATTGAAAAGATCGTTGTACGTGGGAGCTTGGATGTGCTGAATGTTCATTGGTGGGGTATGGTCACCCATATTAAGATCGGTGTCGAAACGGCGGACGGGCGCACTCGCACGATCGGGCGTCGGAGCGGCGGACGGGCGCACTCGCAAGATCGGGCGTCGGAGCGGCGGACGGGCGCACTCGCAAGATCGGGCGTCGGAGCGGCGGACGGGCGCACTCGCACGATCGGGCGTCGGAGCGGCGGACGGGCGCACTCGCAAGATCGGGCGTCGGAGCGGCGGACGGGCGCACTCGCACGATCGCGATCGAAAACAGCAGGCGAGATAACGTTACGTACGTTACGTGATGGGTTTTCCCGAAGTCGCACACGGAAATACAACGTGACCGAACAGAAACCTCGTGACAAACGGGTCACGATTTCGGAGTTTCGGGTCCGTCGACGCACTCGGAAACACGTGTGAGGGGCCTTCGAGCTTATCCCACTTCTGAAATGTTAGCAACTTTAAACAACTAACGATCGGTAGCAGTTTAAAGTAAGACTCGGGTCAGGATTCTGGAAACTAGGTAAATATTTAGAACGAAGTGTGTGGTATTCGGCGTTTATTCTTACAAACGGCAAACTAGAAGAACTTAATATTACAGTTTCTAACTTAACAACTTAGATTAACGGTCGTCGGGGACGCGGGACAAAGCGGTGTACCCGGTCGCTACGAAAACTAGAACATGACTATCTTGCCGGACGTCCCGCCGTCGCGGTTGTCCGTGTATCCGTTGAGCGCGAGGCGCAGTGTGACCAGTTCAGGGCACACAGTGCCTCAGCCCTTACAATATACATTATAACTTGATTTGATTATGATACATTTCACACGAAAAAAACATTTGTCGCTAACAGTATTATACATGGCGCGTTTTTTTTATTGTGGGATCCTCGTTAAGGCTTAAACCCCCACGTACAAATAAAGGGACAATTTTACCCACATTTTCACCACTAAGTAATTTATTGTTAATGATCAATGGTGGATACGTTTTTGTTTTTAATGTATCTAGATAAGAATTGATTAATAGGTAGGTATGTGTATTGACGAAAGAACGTCACGGTTGACAATAATTAGAAAAATAATAATTTAATGATGGTAAAATTTTCAAAAGTCTGTCCTTGATTGAACATTATGGAATTCGATGATGCAGCTTGAGTTTTTTTTTTATATGGCGGATTTGTGGATTCAATTTAAAATCAATAAGAAATATTAGGCTAAATAATTATTTAATTTTTTTAATTATTAAACTCACATACTGGTGAATTATTATTCAAAATAATTTATTTTAATAGGTACCGTCAATTTTTTCTGCCAACACTCATACATTAATTATAAGTTACACGGGTTCTTATTATTAGGAACTTCACTTTTTTTAATACTCCCATATAAGTATTGTTGAAAAATGTAACAGTAGCAATAAACAAACTTTAGAATAGTGGCAATATAGTAAATATATAAACCATTCAAGTAATTTTAAATAAATTAAATTGACACTTCATTTGCACTCTTGTAAATTACTTACCCGTACAAATACGTATATTATAAGTTATAAGTTATAGCTATAGTGCTCGGAAGTTATAGGAGCTAAAAAAGGAAAAATATGCACAAACAAATTGTAAAATAATAATCAAAATAGTTTGATAACAATTTTAAACTCCAAAAAAGCCATTTTCTATTGTTATTAAATTGTACTAAAAAAATATTTAAAATTTGAAAAAATAAATTTATAATATTTGAAATATGACTAAAAACTGTATGGAATTTTGACATTTTATTGAACTGAAAGAAATAGTTCAAAAATTAAAACTTAAATGAATAGTCGATACCTACAGTTATATATTCAATATTATTATTAAAATGCACGGCTTAAAAAAGAAAAGGATCAACTAACTTTTTTAAAAATATATTAAAATGCATATGCAGATCAATAAGTATACACTTTTCCCCTAAAACATGCGAAATATGCAAACTAATTTTTAAACTGACCATTATTGAGTATAGCTTGGATTGTTTAGCTTGGTGTTCTATAAATCGAGAGCATAATATAGAATAATATACTTATATTATGCAACTCCTACAGTCCTACAACTTCCGAGCCCTAATTATAACATTTAAAACACTATCCTCGTCACCAACTATTTTCATTTATATGTATTATTATGAAATATTTTTAAATCATTAGTGCATAAGTATTAATTGCATTCTCTTTGAGAACTACTTCTAATGCTTAAAAAATAAAAATCCTCACTTGTGCATTTTCTAATCATAACCAGCGAGAAAGGGAGAGAGATAAGGACTTCCGTACGACCTTTTCATTTTTTCGGTATCTACGGCGTTACTGAATCTTCTTGCGAATTACTTCGACAACTTTCGTACGGCCTCCAGTGTTGAATGTTGATTGTTTTAAGTACAGGAAAAACATTTAAAGTGTGACAGCTGTTATTAATCATTCATACATTTTATTTATTTATCATTATAGTTAAAATTCTTTAAATGTACAATTCTTGACTCCT